CGACAAGGATTGAGAGGAAGAGTCAAGCCAGAACAGATATGTTGCCATATATCTTTTGTTCGTGGTTTATCGTGATAATAATAAAATGTGATAAGGTGACGACAGAATGTCATGGCACGGCTTATGAGTAGAATGCACTCTTCTGAAAGCTCTCCGGCGAGATGTCACCCATTTTGCCCTTCAGGACTGGCTTCTTTTCATCGGCGGCATGAGCCTTTTCAATGACGGACGTCATAGTATTGCTACGGCTGCCCGCTTCGCTGCCGGAGGTGATGGCCTGCTGCGCAGGTCTTCGTTGAATTGTTTCGAGGTAGGGCCCTGGGAGGTAGCCAACACGGCCGTCCCGAGCGCGGCAGCGCCACCACTCGGATGCGTTGCCCATGGGATCCGTTTTGCCGAGAACAGCGACAATATCACCCTTCTTGACGGCAAGATCGATACCGGCGCTTTCCTGAGTCTCGGGGGTATAATCATACAAAACTCGGCAGAAATCAAGCTTCGATGGATCCAATGGCGCTTGCATGGGTTCCCCATTTGGTCCCAGCATCATCTGCTTACGCTGCTCTTCCTGTGAGCGCGCGAGGGCCTTGATGAGCTTGCCCATCAAGTAGGGAAGACCGAAGACGGCGATCAGGAACATGAAAAAGGGCTTCTTCGAAGGCTTGGGGGGAGCAGGAGAGCCGTCTGGGAGCGTGGCAGGCGCGGAGCGCCCGTGCATAAAGGCCGCAAACGCAGACGGGGTGAGAGAGGCAGCATCAGCCGGCGGGGGACGCCCCGTAATCTTCGCAATCAACGTCCTGAACCATCTGATTATTGTGAAAATCCCCAAGGCGGACCCAAGAGTATTTCGCAGATTCCCAAACTGCTCTGCAACAGAGACCATGGCTTTGAAGAAGTTAGTTTCAATGTCCGACAAAGCAGCCACTAACGATAGAAAACATACCAAAAAAGGAGCTATGAGTCGCCATATATGTGCTCTCCAGCATCTGAGCAAACCCACCAAATGCACCCACAATACTCTCAATCATCTGAAAGGTAGCCTGCGTGCTCTGGCTGAACGAATTCGTCAAGCTGTTGGGATCATTGGGGTCGCCAGGCATGCCGGCACCGTACATGCCCCCCATGCCGCCGCCCATGCCCCCGTACATACCCCCGTAGCCTCCATACATAGAGCCCATCGTACCGAAGCGGGAGTATGGGGATGAATATGCGCCGTAGCCGCCATAGCCGGTTCCATATGGCGTGGTACCGAATCGTGATGCGCCATAGGGGGAGTAGTTTGACGCTGTCCGGTTCACAACAGAGTTCAATGTGTCAGGGCGAGAAGGTAAGGAGGGAGCAGTAGAGGATGATGTTGTTGAGGTGGATGTGGGTATGGAGGAGGTAGCTGTCGGCGCTGTCGCAGCGGCGGCTGTTGGAGTCATGGTCGAACTACCGGCGGGGGACGCCGATAACACAGTCCCTGATGGAGCAGAGTAACAACGTTAGTGATCAATCTCTCGATCATAGAGACAGCGCAGAACAAGTATTCAACAGCAGCGAGTCACCTACCACCGCCAGCAGTGCCTGCTCTCTCCCACGGTTTAGGTGGCGAAACCGACGCCATGGAGTTGCGGGAGGGGAAATTTCTCACCAGCCTCGCATTTGACCCCAACCGAAAACCAGGTAACGATGGAACTAGATGGCGAGTTGCTAGATTGATTGATGTGAGGATGATGGGTGGGAACTTGGATGCGCAGAAGAGAGGGGACGCACGAGATGGCCGAAAGAAGTGTTGGGGAACGTGGAGTTTCGGCAGCGCATGTCGCTTGGTCTGACAAAGGACAAAAATTACTGCCGAGGCTGTCTGCTTTTGCCGAGAGCCGGAGAACGCCGTGTTGATCTTCATCATCATGATGCTGATTATTGATCTACTCAAACAATTTGTATCATCGGTTGCACAATAAATATTACTGTTTTATCATGGTCTTCCAGTGAATTGACTTTGATCTATGACAATGTTCTTGTCTCACGTACAGCTATTGTCCATACAGAATACGCTCCTACATTATCAACACCAAATCACAGCTGACTGTTTCAATGCAACTGAGAACTTTCTCGTCAATTGKAGTAAATATACCCATATTATACATGCCCTCCAGAACTCCCAAGATGCAACGCCGACTTCTAGACGCCGCGAAAAAAAATCAGAACCCCCGTTGTCTATACAGTTCGGCGGCGCCGATGGCTAGAAAAATAAGTGGTCTAGTACGCTGGAATCGACTATAACTCGTCACGACTGCGCATCTCAGGCTGTTGAGGAAACCGAATTCTCCACGACCGTGGTGGCACAGGAAGACCCAGCCAGTAACTCCAGGCGCGGTTGGCTTCCAGGACGAAGATTTCCCATCTGCAATACAGAATCAGCGGTCAGTCACTGTGCAGAAGGACAGGGATTAGGAAGAGCTTACAAAGTTTTCGGCAAATTCCACCAGCTCTTCAGGACGTAGATGTATGTGTTCCACACCACCTCGAATTCGGCCTTAAAATTGTCCCACAAAGTATCCGATTCCTTATGCGGCCGTCGCTCCCATGGCAATCTCTCCGTCGCGTACTTGAAGTCGTCTTCATCGTCTTCGTAATAGAACGTTGATCCTCCGTCCTTGTAAAGGACCTTTGCTCTCGGACCGCCAGGCTGCTCCTTCAACAAGGGCGTTCCCGCCATGATAGCGAAAGTCTGGCCCTGTCCAAGATCCATGGCACGGTGGAAGCTTCGTACAGCAGCCAAACTATGGGAAATGCGGCCAAGGGTATTGATCAACGCGACTAGCTCAGTTCTCCGTAGTGGTGGATTTTCGCCATTCTTGGTCTCGTCGTAGTCGAACAGCACCTTCAGGGCGGTTCCATATCCATTCACCTGGAGCTTGCCCCACAGTCGGCACTTATCGCAGCCAACACAGTCCATCAATCTGCTCACATTTCTGAAGCGGTTGCGGAACTCTTCCTTCAAGCCGGGTGCGCTCGGGTCCTGGAACATGATATTCTCATCAAAAATCTGCGGCCGATCAGCGAGGATCGCAGTCAGCTGGGACACCTTCTCCTTGGTTTCGCTGTCCTGGAGCGGATCGCTAGTGCAAAAGGTGTAGTTCTGTAGGTGCTTCCGCAGCTTCGCCACGGCCCGCGAGACGAGTGCATAGTTGAAGTACAAGTTAGAAATGCGCTCCGGGTGATCATGCAGACGCTCTTTGAAGCATTGTAAATTGGGGTGCCACTGTCCTGTGGTCTTGTTGAGATAATCCCAGCAAAGATGGGTTGAGATGGATGCATGCATGCCGCTGATGAGGCGATGAAAGACCCGCTTCTCAAGGCACTCATTATCAAACGGCAATCCTTCGGAGCGTTTCATCTCCTTTTGTATTACGTTTCGGAAGTCATTGACGGCCTGCAAGCCTCCTAGAGATGGATGCGGGGATAGCCCCATCTCCGGAGGCGACTTCAGAAAACAGTTCTCCCGGTAGATGGCGTCCCAGACCTGATGGGCTCCCGGTCCTGCGTAGCCCGTGAATCGTTCCGGATTATCTACCAAACTGACGTAGTCCCCTTTACCACTGGCCCCTTCGTCTTCCGGTACACAGTAATCGCGCTCATCGCACTCGTCGTCGTATTCGACCACGCAGCTTTCCCCGACATTTGCGCCGAGTTCGCCTTGAAGTGGTTTGTCACTGGGTCGTTCTTTTTGAAGTTTGCGGCCGGGATGGCCTGCTTTGGGACCTTCCAGTTTGCTAAGCTCCTCCGCTCGCCACGTCAACGGGATATCCTCCTCTGACTCTATTGTGTTGACGGAACACGCGATATTGCCGCACATACTGTGGGCATCGTCCCAGAACGGACATTGCTTATTGAATAAATTTAGGCGGTAATATGAAAAGAAATCCGTCTCTTGCGTGATTGATTGGAGCAGGCTGTAGATCTGATCGTTGAGAGAATCGATGGTGACGTAGGAAACACAGGCATCGGAGACGGTGGCGGAGGGATCAATCTGGAAAAATACATAGTCAGAAACAGTCATAAAAGTATCCTTGATAGTAAAAGTCACTTACTGCGCAAACAGAGTGGTCATATCGCTGGTCTGGATCCTCGTGGGCATTGGTAAGCCGCAAGAAGGCGAACACTGCCAGGTAAAAGACCTTGGCTGCTGAGCGCATTTTGCTGTCAAGGTTTCAAAAATGCATATACTAGTATGGTGTTCTTTAAGATCGAACGGAGTGATGAAGGAGATTATGATCAGTCGCTCTGTTGCCCTTCACATGAAAAGGCCTCGACGAGGATTATCAATCAAAGCAAAGACAAAGCCAAGAACTCGAAGACTCATGCAATAACGAAGGTACAGGAGGATTCGGTGCTATGCAATGAATATGGAAGAGGAGTAGAAGAAAAATACAAATCTAGACTGTGGGCTTGTAAGAAGGATGGCCACTATTTACAGCGTGGTATGTTGGAGTCCTCAATAAGACTATTCAGAAGTGGACAAGCTGGCCTTCGTTGCGCGTGGCGGAGTGCACCCGCAGTAGTAATTGGATGATCGCCAACGACGGCAATGGAATGTCCCACGCCAAGCATTCAGAAGTAAGGCATTTGTCTAGTCTGTCGACTTTGTGTCTAGTTCATTTCAAGACTGGTTTCACTTAAACACTACGGATAATTCCATTGGTTGAGTCCGTTCTTATTACTGATGCTCATGCCGACGGGTCCAAATCAGGCCATTCTGAAACCTCGCTATTCATCAAATGTCAAAGGAACAAAAGAGGACAGCTGTGCAATTATGCACGCACTCAGGCGAAAAGACTGTGAAGGCTACTCTCTCGCCTACCCCTCCATATTAGGCTTAGCGCGACACACATCTCAACTTCAGCCTCCTACGTAGATAGCTTCATCTCAGATGGTTTGATATCACACCATTATCTCATTCCATTCCATCTCACAAAGACAATGATCAATCATCTCTTCCTTGCCGCTAGTATCTACTGAAGCCTCTCCCCACCCTCAAGATCATGCCCTTCAACCATCTCTCTAATCCTCTCATCCCGACTCTCAACCAGATCCTCTTCCGCTTGCTTTAGGGTCGTTGTCTGGTTCAAGAGCTTCTCAAAGCCAAGCGTCTTAGCAGCAAACTCAAAGATTATCTTTTCCACTTCAGTCGCATGTTTCGTGAGTCCATGGTCATCCCCGGGGAGCAGCTTCAACTCCCTCGGACCCGTACTCCCATACTCCCTATACAGTGTCTCCGAGCACGTCGGCGAGAGCACCTTATCATCGGTCCCATGCAGCAAGAGCACCGGTCGCGGACTCACTTTTTTTATCCCCTCCGTATTTGCGGACTGTGAGGCCACGGTAGCCACGCCGCGGACGCGATTGAGCTCATTCGCGGCGACGGTGAAACAGGGACTCCCGCCAAAGGACCAGCCGACGAGGACGAAGCCCGACGAATTGAAGTGCTCGCGCAGGTAGGTGAAAGAGGCTACGATGTCGGCGGAACAGTACTCCGTCCTCGCAGGTTGGCGGTAGTCAAGTCGGATGCAGGGGATGCCAAGTAGAAGGGCGATCTTGTCCCCCAGAGATGGGTAGATACCTTCACAGTACACTGCAGTTAATTGCCGATCTTCCGTAGAATGAAGGATCAAACAGCGTGGCAAAGGATCCCGAAAGATAAGATACCTACCGCTGGGCCCGCTGACCCCGCCCCCAGCTCCACTAACCAAGACGACGGCCGACTGCTTTGCCTCAACGGCGGAATAGCTGCGAGGTTCGTGTAGAATGGCCGGTGCGTCATGATCAAGCGGATCGTTGACGCGGATGTTGACATGTCTCGCGATCGAGGGTTTGATGGCCCTTGTCTCCACTTTGGGAGGGTGGACCGGTCCCAGGCTATGCAGACTATGGGGCTTAACTGCAGCCATGGTCTTGTTAGAAACTCCTATGTGTCGCCGTAGATTTGGTAGTGAAGAATGCAAGTGATATTGAAGACAGGACCTCATGCAGCAAAACATACTTTTGTTTTATTTGTCTAGAGGCGATTAAAAACCATGTCATTTATGTACGAGTCGCCTCCGCTGCTAGTATTGAATCAGACTGACGGATATGACGCAAGAACTGGACAAGCTGCTTTAGCAGAGGCAACAGACACTGGTGGCAAGTTATAGCACGACTTGACCGTCGCATTACCAGAATTTGGATAGTCAGTATTCGACCAAATCTACATGTTCGGGGCTAAGCATATGGCTGCCTATTGAATTATAGAGCTAACTGGAAGATCGGGAGAAGAGAGACTTCAATCCATTTGTTTGATTTGACTAGAAGAGTGAAGTTGAGCCTGTCTTTCATCACAGCAGTACAGGGCGTAATCCGTTACCCGAAAATTATTATATCCCAAAGAACCTTAACTCCAGGGGTGACCGACTCCAATAATGCCGTCACATATAGCAAGACATACATACATGAAGGAAGAAGGGAAAAAAGCTCGTATGGCATAAAAAAACCCTTGTTACATGATTCCGAATTGCGCCCAAAAGTCCGGGTATCTCTTCCAAATTCCGAAGTTGCCGCTCCTGAAAGCCCTCGTCTCGCGATTTTGTCCGTTTCCTGAAACTGTCGGACAGACTGAGACATTAGTGAGGGAAAGAAGCTCAAAGTAGGCATAGAAAAAGCACTTGTCTCGTGAAATTGCACCAATCCATAGGGTATATAGTCGTAGTAGCGTAGATGTCGTGTCGTATATATTCCGAGTCGTGAATTCGTAAAGCAGGTCGAGTAGTCATTCAGGCATATTGTTAATTGTTCTCACCAAGCATATAGCTCTTCATTTGCAATGGTGAAGACCGAGACAGTTGGGCGATAATAATAGTACTCCGCTGGCCGGTTGTCGATCGTTGCGACATCGAAGAAGTGGGGCGTTCAATGACAGTGGTAGCGCCCTGCAAGCAGGCTGTTGATTGTTCAACGCTCAGGTGGTTTTATTGCGTTTCCAACTACGGCAATGACGACTGAATGCTTTGCGAATAATTTCAAACGGCTTTGGAAGCGGACTGTTGTAGAAAGGGTCCTTTTTGAAGTCTTCTTCAGTGAATTTCTAATAGATCGATCAGTACTTTGAAATTTGATTACGAATAAGCACCGGGGCGACCTACCAAGCCTGGGAAGCGAACGAAATTGCCATAGTCGTTCATCATGTTGGTGCCCTCCTCGTATTCGTAGGTTCGTCCTTCCCTGTCTGTAGTTCCAGGAGGATAGAATGCGACTCCATCCAACGGGCGATGGCTGTTGAGACAATCGGCAATCTTGTCCTCTGGGGTCGCCTTGAGAGCCTCCTTGGTGGAGTGTTCAAGGGCTGCAATCGGGCTAGTTTTGGCGTCGTGATTTCTTTCCGCATAGACGGCGTCGTACGGGCTCTCATGGTGGTAATGGAAGACACCTGCATTGTCCAGGCGATCAATGACATCTGGGGTGACAAGAAGCGAACCGCGTCGGTATCTGGTGCGATGGCGGTTGCCTTGAGTGCTCTGCTGAGCGTACGTAGGGTGATATGTGTTCCGTCTTCTCCTTGGCTCTACTGGCTTGTGCTCAAGTTCACCAGACCAGTAGATAGAAGGCACAGAAGGTGAGCGTTCTAAACTGAGAGTGTTGACAGTCGTTGTAGATGAAGAGGGAGAAGGAGTAGGAGAAGGAGAGATGTAGCGATGGTAGGGGTTGTTGCTCCCCAACTCCATGGCCATATCGACATTCATAGGATATTGGCTAGGCTGATTCCAACGAGAAGGATACGAAGCCATATACATGGAGTCACCGGACGACACCATGGCTGTTCGACTTTGAGAGGAGATGATCGAGGAGTGCTCAGGGAAAAGAAATTCCCCCGTCTTTAATCTCTGGAATCTCCTGGCTTGCACAGAGACTCAGATGTCTAATAGTAACTCTGCGCTATTGAATGCAATCTTACCGATACTTTCTGTAGATGTGGGGCTGACTGTCCGATTTGGGGTCTGAAAATGTGATTGAACGAAATAGCGGTGTTTCGACGCAAAGAAAAGATGATTGTCGACGATTCTCAGCTCAGAAGATGAGGCATGAGAAGCACGTTCGAGGAGAGAATCAGAGAAGGAGAAAGAGCACCCAGAGACAGTAGAGAAAGGATTGTCTACAGAGTGTACGACCAAAGAGTGACGTGACGACTTGCGTATACCTATACCAAGGGTCCTGGGCTTATCGATAAGGGGTCCACCCCTCCCTCTTGGGCTTAGTGATTATGATTTATACCTTATCTAGCTTAGTGCATGGGCCTTGCCGAATGACTAGACCCATTCGGTTACATCGGCCACGGCACTCGATGATGAAACTGATGGATCAAGCGCCTCAAACGGCTTCCGACGATCCCGTCGATCCATGGATGTTGATGGAAATTACGTTCGAGTGCCTGAATATGACTCAATGATCTCCTGTCCGAAGGTCATCAGAATCTCATAGAACGAGCCCTATGACGTTGTTTGGTCAGTATGAGAACCCGTCACGTATGACAGGCACAAGGTTTTGTCTGTACACTACCAAGTGGTACAATCTGTTCTTCTTATTCAGCTAAAACAAAGTATCTAAGCAGTCACTGAGGGAAATTCCATTGCTACTATCTCATCCACTTTCGGATTTGTATTGCAAAGATTAAGCTCGGAAATTTTACTTCTGTCCATAGAGCAGAAAAGTCGAATTTGTCTCAACAACTGGCCGGTTGGAGTAGCTGGTTATCTCGCATCGTTAACACCGATGAGGTCGCCGGATCGAGCCCGGCACTGGTCATTTCTTTTTGCTTTTCTCACTCCATGTGTAGAGTCGGTTCATTTTGTTTTATTATCATATTTTTCTCGGTAGCGTCAGCGGTTAAGACTTAAAGAGTGCACTACTAAAGCCCATTGCAGTCTAGGCAAAGTGCAGATAGACTAAGTCGAAAAGGAAAGCAGATGCAGAAGCTACTTGGACAGATAGAGCACCCTCCCATCCCTATTACGGTTACCTGGGTTTTACTCCGTAGATAAAAGTTTATCATCCGGCCTATTTAAAAGATTGGTCTAGCCTCCGGGGATGGGCGGCTGTAGGAGCGTCATGGATTGTGGAAAAATCTGCAACGCTTCGATTTCAGTGCTACCGTTACCCCACACTTCTATGACAGGGCCTCCCTCGTTCTAGAACACGACACTTAAATATGAACACCGTTCAAGAAGTTTTACAACGCTTCTCGCTGTATATTCTGGGGACAGGAATTGCGTGTCTAACTAGTCTCATTCTCCTACTCCAATGCGAGGCTTTTTTATCTCCTCCTCAATATATGTAACCATTGGGCGTATGGTTCTTCCACACTTCGACTCCCAGAAACGTCTTCTGATACATCGCCTTTGATAACAATCTACTTCGTAACTTGAGAAAGAAGCACAGAGATGATTTTGATAACAATTGACCCTTTCGATGGGAGAATCAAGCCTAAGTACCAGCCAATCAGTAACTCTGTTGGTGACGGGAGCGACTTTACCTTACTTAGTAAGAAACAGTAATACCATTACAGTAAGTTTACGCTTGCTTCTCCTCAACCCGCTTCTTGACTCAACCCATACCCATTGCCGCGATGGCTTTGGTGCAATACTCTGATACAGAGTCAGATACAGAAGAAAGTGAAGAGAAATCGCCCAGACCATCAAGGAAACCCCGTCACAACAACACCTCCGTCGATGATCGAGTATCATCTCTACCCCCACTACCGACTGCATTTCGTGATCTGTATGCCTCGAGCACTCGCGTGAGTGTACGAGACGACCCTAGTCTTCATGGAGGCCGTAAGCGTGTCATTCCCCATGTCGAAGGGAACTGGCCCACCCATATATACCTAGAGTGTGAGTTTCCTGGCTAGCATTTACGGATGGGGACTGAATCCGACAGGGTATCCGTCGAAAGCAGAACTTGCTGTCTTGGATGGTATATTAACAGAGGTCGAAGTCAAGTTGGGAGGACGTGCGGGAGAGATCCATAGCTTATTAAGAAGTGATCTGGGTGTCCAACTCCCGCTTCATATCAGTCTCTCCAGACCAGTGGTTCTTCGCACTGAACAGAGACAGCCTTTCATGGATATGTTCCAAACGGCTCTTCAAGAGTCTACAGTCCCAGCGTGAGTATTTCACACTTCTTTCGTGGAGAGTCTTGGACAGTCGGGTTGCTAACGGGCCACCCAGATTCTCTGTCAACCCTTACAGGCTCGACTGGGTCTCTAATTACGAAAGGACGCGGTGGTTCCTCGTCCTACGGGTGACAAAGCCCGCACATGATAACTTGAACCGTCTCCTCGGCCTGTCAAATCGCTCCTTAGCTCACTTTGGCCAACCACCGCTGTATGCGGGTAGATCGCCTGGCCCAGATCACAGGCATGGACAAGATGAAAGTGTCAAACCAGATACACAGCCCGAAGACTTTTCTCACTGTTTCCACGTCTCCCTCGCCTGGAGCTTAACAGAACCAACGCCGCAGCAGAAGAAGAAAATTGAGGCTATAGATCTTCGCCGCTTACGAAGTCTGGTCATTCCCTTTGACTGTGTGAAGGCCAAAATTGGCAACAATATCTCGAGCTTACCCCTTTCGACTGTATGAAGTTTTTCCTGTGATATAACCGAAGCGTAAATTGCTGAGAACCGAATGATTTCAGGATCGTTGCCGATGAGTACACAGGTAGCTTAGTTACTAATTTTACTAATGTACAAGGTTTAATCTTCTGCTCAGAGCTCATCTAAAATTTCGTATTAATGAAGCCCAGCGCGAGACCTCAACATACCCTGTTTATCATTTCTATCCATCCACTATGGTCGACCGGAGTCTATATCACTCCCCAGACCTGTTCTTTTTTCTCCGGAAGACTCGGCGGCAACTTTGGCTCCAAGGTAATTCCCATTGCATTGAAGGTAAACTAGGCTGCTCCCTAAACACTACCAAGCACTCACGAACTAAATATCCCTACCCACAGGATAAATTGTGTTAAATATCGCTGGTTCATTGCACATATGTACTCTGTATTTCGCTCCCAATACGAGACTGCCGCTGGGACGGAACATCAGTAATTCCGGATTCGCTTTGAATGAAAGCGAGAATGTGTCTCAGGATGAGCGTCTTCACCACCCCCCTTTTGAATATTTCGCCGAGACCATGACGCTAGCCTCTCCTGAAGAGCTGCTAGAGGGGTACACGGACTTGGAACTGGCTCGTCACATTGTATCCTCGCCGTTGTGCGCGTCCAGCTCGCGGGTATTCAATCTCTCCTCGAATTTCATAGCCAAGCGATATGAGCCTTCAGAGGTCGAAGATGCTTTAAAGGCTACCGAAGTCGCCAGCCAGCTTGGGATCCGCTGTCCTTCCGTACGGAAGATGATCAAGACCCAAGGGAATGCTTACACTATTATGGATCGGATGGAGGGAACTACGTTGGACGTCGTCTGGAAGGAACTGGGCTGGTTCATGACAGTTAAGCTTGGTCTGCAGCTTCGCCGCTTCGTGAAAATTCTCAGATCTGTTACCTCACCAACTGCCGGATCGCTCGCGACAGGCGAATGCAGGTCTTTCTGGCTAGAAGATCGCTACGGTCTTCCGGCGAATTCTGGCCCAGCTGAAATTGCCCACTTCTTCCGATTCTGGGCGAACTTTACGTCTATGAGGCGAGCGATGCAAGCATCAAAGCAGCCTCAAGCACCAGACTCACCAGATTACACTGTGGGGGTGCCAATGACCATCGAGCCATTCGTCTTAACTCATCATGATCTTGCGCCACGCAACCTTTTACTTTCTCCTTCTGGTCAGCTTTCGCTCCTTGACTGGGATTTGGCTGGGTTTTATCCTGTTACCTTCGAGTACGCATCCATGTACAATTTCAACATTCCTCAGGACTGGGGTCTGATGGCCCGTTTACGGTGGCATCTATTTACGTGGATCGGCGTCGGCTATCATGAGGCTGACGCTCGCCTGCTACGAAATATGCGTTCTAAATTCACACGATTCTCCCACGGAAGGAGATACGAACTGTTGGAAAAAGGTGGCCCCTCAAGATACCCTGTAAACTGATTTTGTGAACTCCACGCAGGTTATTTTCGTGCTCAATGCTCCCTACCTTAGGTAAGGCACTAGGCTGTGTACTGCGCAATACGATACCGTATTTTACTAAGGCTGCTGGCCTGAGCCGCGCTAACGCGTCATCCCTCCTTTCACACTCAAACACTCAACTTCTAAAAATCAAGAGGTCAACTTGTGGCGCATACTCCCCACCATAATGTCGAGTCTACAGATACCATCCGTTACAATAGTGAGTTTGCCCTAAGCTGATGATATGCAACGAGAAGCTAATAATCTCCCTAACTCCAGGAAGATTTGCAGGCCTTTCAAGCGAAGCATTTTCCCAGCAGTCAACAAGTCACGTCGCTCGACTACACCTATAGCGAGACTGTAGATAACGATGTTGATGATGATGATGGCCTTGGCTACTACCCAGATGGCGTGAAGCGTACTCTCACGGACGAGCAGATCCGCATTTTCAGACATAGTGAAATCCACTCATTACTTCGCCAGAAGCAACTACGAGAAGAGGAGCTGGCTGAGGAGGCCAGTGAATTAACACCTGTGAGGCAAGTCGCTGGGGATGTTGCTGAAGGGCAAGAAGACACGCCCTCTGGTATTCCAAATGGTCAACAGGAGAGGATACCTGAGGCGAAAGAGTGCACTGGCTTGGAGCCAAATGAGGCACAGGATTCGTCGATAATGAAGCGGTCGAATGAGGCAGGCTCACGAGAAAGACTTGATTATGATGATAATGCTACAGTGCAGCGGGAAGCACATGGGCGTGGTTCGAACTTTGCTGGACGCAGAATCATATCCTACGATGATTGAGAACGCTTTGCGTCGGCAAACAGTCATATGGCATTCTGCAACAACTGGCTTTCAGCCTTCATTCCCCATGCCAAATTTACTTCGTCATCACTGTTCTGACAATAGAATTGGAGACTGGCTCACCCAATGCGCGTGAGTGCCCCTTTTTGTGCATACTCGCTTTCTTTTTTGTGATGAAATTTATGTATCAGTCATCCTTAGTCGGACTGTCATACCATCTTCGGGTGTGTAAGACTCTGACGACTTTAATCTTCTCTCTGACATTACTATTTCCGCAGCCGGTCCTGTTTTCTGTCGTTGTTAAAGCCATCATACTGATTATCCGAGTCATTTAGAATTTGGCCCATCGTTTGGGGAGTAAAAGCGGAATATCGGCATACAATTCCTTCCCCGAATCTACTCGATGAGTGGGATCGTTTTGGAGGGCTACAAAGCGCCTGCAATGATCCTGACCGTTCAGCCGACAGGCAGCAATACAGTACTACCTGGGCAACTACTGAGTTTGCAGTCGACGCTGTTAACGAGTAGACGTCGCAGGCAACACACGCGGCTTGGAACATTGTCGTGTTTGCAAGACGCAATAATTGGCTGGACCAGAATTTAGCAGCCATTTCATCTTTGGATGCGGTTGGAGCCGACGCCAGACGGGCTCTTGATGCTGTTTTCCAGGGTCACGTTTTCCGGGGCCATCCTGTGATACCCTTGTCCTTAGGAAGACACGATGAACTTTGCGGCAGTAAATAATGATTCATTGCGGGCACATATGATGGAGTTGGATTTGCCTTTAGTCTTCCCACCTGCTATCAGCCCCCAGTCCTCACAGAAGTGCCTCGGACTTACCACATTTGTGACCCCCCACCGTCTGAGGTTGCGTTGAGCCGCGTAGTTGGATGTACATTTTGTGAAGCTGATGTTTGACACACACTCCGGGGAATTGTAGCATCGGATGAGTTGGGGGTGTGGTGACCTGTGAGTATTCGATCTCTTGCGGATCGTGGACTGCATACATTGGAAAGTTGGATGATAGTATATGTATCAGCCCATAGCCACGAACACTGCTAAACTTGCCGCGATCTGAACCCTGTTCAGATAATACCTACACACTGATCCAGTGATGATCAAGTTGGTGTGCATATATATATAAAAAGAATGATATGAAGGAGAATTAGCCGGGTCGTCCCTTTTTTGATTTTTGCACTTGCTCCTAGTATATCTCGACATCCTCGAAGTAATCGAATGTCATTTCACCATTACTGACTGCTCTCCCGATGCGCTAGGATAATACTTGCAGGGTAGATAGCCTGTTGACTAGGTAAGAATTGGTGACGATATAATAAAGTACCAGTATAACAAAGTATCATATAGTGTACTGTATACATCAATGCAAAACCGCCACTGTTGTGCTGCTACATCGTTATTATGCAGCATGTTATGCCAGCAGCATGGCGTATTGGTCAGTAGTGTACGGAGTATTGTTTTTCTTTTTTGGTAACTATTGCTAAGGCCACTTTTGTCCGTTGAGCAGGGAAGTCAGTCGACAGATTGATATGACGCATTTTCCCTATTCCAAGCTCGAAGGGTAAATGTAAGATTTCCCAATCTCGATTCCAATCTCACTTCCTCGTGAGCGGCATTGGACTATCCGTCCAGCTTGGTTGAGCGCTGCCTCGGAAGCAGAGCCCAGAATATCCCAATCCCGACCAACAAGCCAACCATAATCGGCTGCATAACCTGTACCCCTGTCTTTGAAGCGATTGCTCCAGTCATGAAGGGGAATGCAGCCGATCCAGCTTGTCCCAAGCTTGCTGTGAAGCCTATCGGCGTGGAAAATCAGCACAACGATTCAAGCCCAGGGAAAAGAAATATTCGGGGAACCAAGATGACCTACCTAAGGCGCCGATGTGGAGTTCCTGTGGGATGACTTTTGTCAGGACGTATAGTCCGACAGGGTAGAATGGGCCGATAAAGAAGCCTGTTGATCTGTCAGCCACAGTCTCAAAGCGACGACTGGAAAGCTCGACTCGAAGAGCTACCTACCCAGAAGACAAACTGTGACTGCATTCGCGATAATGTTCGGTATCAGCCAGAACATGACCTGCAACGCTATGGCGAGAGCGATATAGACAAACACCATACGGCGCTCACCGAGCTTGTGCGTGATGTCTGCGAGAAGGACCCGTCCGAGGGTGAACCCGGACCAGAACCCAGAGGCCACATAGCCTACTTTCTTGGGGTCTCCATGTCTGACGGAGACGAGGAATTGGACCAGCCAGCCTGAGTGCTCCAATATTAGCTCTTCTGCAAGCAGGTGGATGACGAATTGGCCACATACCTCCCGACGCTACTTCAGCACCGACATATAGGAAGAAGAAGCCGTTGAAGATCCAGACCACTTTATTGGTTAGTGTGGCCTTCATTTCCGCATTAGCCGTGTCTTTGGCATTGGACACGTTTGGCTTAAATAGACCCTTCCGGAACGTCCAAGCCAGGAGGACAATGTTGAGCACCCCCATAACAAACGTCGCGAGGTAGTAATAGTGCCAGTACGGTGTTCGAGAGGCGATTGTATTCGCGATCAGCGGCGCAATAATCGTGCCGACTCCGTAAACAGCATGGAGAATGCCGAGCCATCGATGGGCGTCCTTCACGATCAGCGTAAAGATATTCGCTTGTGCGTCTTGGAAAGCAACACCCATGCCGGTGAAGAAGAAGGCAGTCATAAAAAGAGGATATGGAGGTTTCCAGAACATGAGCACGTACCCGAAGCACTGGATCGTGGCTCCGACAACCAGTGTCCCGCCGCTTCCCAGTCTCGAGCAGACGTGAATGTTGGCGAAAGATGCCACTAGCCATCCGGCGAAATTGACCAGATAGACCATGGACACTTTCAGCAAGCCAATATCATAGGCGGGCTGAAGATATGGAATGAGCACACCGGTGGCAGCGTCTGAATATTGATCAGTCCAGGACCTTCTCACAGACCAGTCGTGCGCAACGACTTACCGTTCAAACCGGCCATCATCACCGCATAATTGGTGCTGATCAGTCTGCCGACGACCTGGCTAGCATCTTTCTGAGTGAAGAAAGACGAATCCTTCGAGGATGAGTTTTCCACATCCTCTACGCTGCTGTCATTCTGGTTCTCCGTGTCCATGGTCTACGACGGTTCTAGCCTGCAATAGCGTCGCGAGAGGGTCCACAGCCATTGCTGGCAGTGCTGATGATTAAATATGCATGGTCAGTCAGTATCAATCCTCGTGCCCCTCTCACCTGAGTCATTCTATTACTATTAGGTTATCGCGGCTACATCGCGTAAGCCAGTTAAGCAGGTCGGACATGTGGCCAGCGCTCCGCGTACCGATTTTTGGGAGGGAAAAGAGAGTCGATGCAGCGCAGTTTCCTCCAACTCTGCATAGAAATCATGTCCCATCTCGAACAGTTCTTTTCTCATTTTCTCTTCAAGTGACTGTGTGGACATGCTTAACATTGACTGAAAACTGCAATTGCCCGCCACATGGGTGTATCGAGGGAGGATGTGACAACCCCGCAAATGGGGTCACCAGCCAACTATACGTGGCAGTTGATGCATCGATCTGACATTCACTTCGACAAAAGCAAGTAGCAGAGGAGTCATTACTGTCGCATGCTCACTTTTGTGGAGACGAAGCACTCGAAAGCAAGCTGGATCATTCTTGATTCCGATATTTGTTGATTGACATCCCTGGTTCCCACAAGTCCGTAGTTATATGCTCTGCGTCTGATGACGGAAACATAGGCAGGTATTGACTGTATGGTCTGTTTGCAACTGTTTTGGTTTTGTCTCTCTTTGACAATGCGTGTTCAAAGTATGACGGCTCTAGACGGTGCTTTGTGAGCAGCAAAGGCTGATGCCAGACTACTCTACATCGGCATCGCTGTTCCAAGGACTCCTCGAAATATTAAGCAATTGGTGATCGGGATGTATGTCTGTCAGTGTCCTCGGTTGTGGAGGCTCAGCATGCAAATGCTCCAGAGTCGAGTAAGAGATGATCAAGATCAAGTTTCTGAGTCAGGGTGAGGCCATGTTAGGCATAGAAAAACTGCAGTCCCTCTCAAAGAAGCTGCGGTGCCTTGGCTGCCACCAGTTTCTATAACAGATCACAGACTGAATTCATCAATGATTGTTTTTGCGAAATGAAAAGGGGGCAACGTTGCAACATGTCGCTTGCTTAAGTCCGGAGCCCGATGGCTCAAAGACGGACCCTGTTCACAAGCATCTAGTCATATTGATATCTCCATGTATCATGCAAACCCGTAGGTGTGTCGAGATAGTCCAGCCGAACGCGGATGATCATCATCGAAACGTAAAGAGCCGTGGTCAACCGAACCCGAGCTGTCCAGATTCTCATCCGAGGCTTGTCTCGCCTACCTCCTTGCAAAATAATGGTTGTTCGCCGAACGGACGGCAATCTCCGAACTACCTCGTGGAATAGTCAGGTGAAACACCTAAGGTATGTTCCCCGCTCGAGAGGCCGAGTCAATACGCCGCAACTGATGGAGAATCTCCACACCGTGCTTTCGGGATGCTGACGGCGATGATCTTAATCGTTCGGCCGGGCGGCGGTGGATTTCCCAGGTCGCGATCGCGCTCTCCCTCTGGATTATCGCCTGGATCATCGCCGAAGCCATTCCCGTATTCAGCAACCTATTGAGCTTGATCGTAAGTCTCTTCACCTTCTTTTTCTTCACCTCAATTACCGACTTATTCATCTTCAGGTTGCCCTTTTCGCCTCCTGGTTCACCTACGGACTCAAGTGGTATTTTCTGGCTCCACCTCAACTGGGGCAAGTACACGTCTTCTCCGCGCAAGATGTTCCTGACAGGCGTCAATCTGTTCTGCCTGGTCTTTGGCGCTGTGCTCTGTGGTCTGGGCTTGTATGTCTCCGGAAAGGCGATCCATGATAACCCTAGCAACGCGAGCTTCTCGTGCGCTAATAATGCTTAATATTTCATTTACGGCA